AAAGTCATTGTGGCGGGTGGACCGGGCACTGGGAAATCCTATACCGTCATGACTTGTTTGGATTTTATCAAAATTCCTCAATTACGCATGGCTCCTACGGCAAGAGTGGCGAGTCNGGGGAAAAAAAAAAAAAAAAAAAAAAAAAAAAAAAAAAAAAAAAAAAAAAAAAAAAAAAAAAAAAAAACAGTATCCAGAGTGTGATTAGTTTGATTAAGTGGTTTCTAAAAGGAGTTTCTCAGAGCACTTAAGGGTTCCGTCGATGGATCACAAGGGTTCCATTATTTAGGACTAGTGTTTAGAGTTACAATAAATAACTTTCAAATTCAAGTCAGGTTTATCAGGTTATCAAAAAGGCTTATCAATTCGGGTTCCAAAGCCTAAAAAAAATTAGCTATCACACGGAGTTAGATAAATAAAAACCGTATCATAGTTAAAAAATTTTTAACGAAGTTTCATGTGATAAATTTATATTCACTTCTTGAAATTACTACCTTAATAATACAAATTAAATTTCATAACAGTCGTTGAGTTGCTGAGTTAATTTTGAGTTTACGACTATCAATGTTCAGCTCCGTAGCCTTGTGACTTTGAACCCAATTCCGTAGACAATGAAACTTTTAGATCAAGTTTTGGAGGAAATTTGCTTTCATGGAGGACTTTTTGATGGAACTAACCCTTATTTGCTGTACATGGGGAGGAAAACAACAGAAATCTCCCACGATTAGCCTGACGTCAAGGAGAGTCTAACCCATGATCCGTCAAATTCCGAGGATATTTTTGTCAGCAATGTGGTCAATGCGAGCAGGATATGGAATTCGTTTTGATCAGCAATCGCTGGGATTCGAACCCAGGTCGCGTCATTGGGAGGTGGTCGCCCTATCCCCTGAGCCATCATGACTTCATACAAAATAATTAGAATTTATAACATAAATTTGAATTTTACGCTATTAAAAATAAGAACGAGGTTGTTGAAATCCAGTTTCTTACCCTATATGCGCCAAAAATTATCTAGGTTTAATATTTTTTTAAAGAATTATTAAATGTGATGTCAAAAATATGGAAAATAAATATAGAATAGCATTAGAGTTTTTTTAGTAATAATATTCTTTGGCGACCAACGCTTAGTTTTGGCGTGGGTTTGAAATTTCAAGGGTACCGACTGTCAGATCGATGATTTCCCCCCCCCCACCTAATTTAATATACAGTGGGTATTTTTATATGGTATTATATAATGACGATTAATCATTATATGATTATTATCATTATGATAAAGTATTAAAAATTATTAAATAATAGCCAATTACTTAAAAAGGTTTTATATGCATGCGAATAATTTATGAAATTATAGATAAAATAGTAAATAAAATACCAATAGCGAAGAAATCTTCTTGGTTTATCAAAGTTTGTTACTTAGCAATTGCATCAATAAGAAGGAATAATAATGATTACGTTTAATATGTTTTCATCAAATGCTTAATATTACGTTTAATATGTTTTCATTAAGCGTTTAATACATTTAATATGATTTCATCAAACGTTTAATATTGCGTTTAATATGTTTTCATCAAGCGTTTAATAATTCGTTTAATGTGTTTTCATTAAACGTTTAATGTTTTTTTGTGCTAAAAAGGATGAATTTTAAAATAACTTTGAACAATTGACAGTACACAGATAAGAATTTCAGTCAATGAACAATAAATATTAAAAAAAAAGTTAAGACAACGTTTTCAGACACTGAAATTTATTAGATTTTTTTTGTTATAAAAATATTAAAAAAAATTGATTGATTGCAATTATATTGATGAAAAACTTGTGAATACATTTATTCACGGCACAACAAATAATTGGTGAAAATACGGTTAAATAATTTCTGAAAACATTTAATCACAGAGCTTTTTGAAACGGAAAATTTGATTATTTCCTCTATATTTCCCTGAAACTTACCATGCATTCAATATTCAGTGTTATTGTAAGAGTTTTATGAATTTTTATAAATCAAACAATTGAATAACACAAAATGTGTGTTTTTATTTCAAAAAAGTAGTTGAAAAAATTTATAGCGTTTCTATAAAATTTCTTAAAAAATAATGGGAATAATAAAAATTTCTTAATATTTAAATAATAAATTTTTTGTTCAACTTTTGTTTAGATAAATTTATGAATACAAAAAAGCTAGAAGTGAAATTAAAAGTGCTACTGATATCTGTATTTTCATTAATTATTTTTATTTTTTGCTTTTTTTATGAAACAAAATATTATCATTAATAATAGAAAATAAAAGCTCTTCATCTGTTTCTGAAAACTGCAGAAAGAGTTGCAATTATTCCATAAAATAAGTCAGTTCCGCGTGGCTAAATTGACAGCACCCAATACGCTGTTGCAAAAATTATAGTTCCTATAGTCAGTTTTGTAATCTTTATAATGTTTTCAACCTTTGTTTTTATAAAAATATTTCACTGACTAATTTCGCAAATAAAAATAATCAAATTGAATTTTTACATCTAAAAGATTAACTTTTTTATTTAAAATTTTGCCACGTAGAACTTAGTTTGAGAGGATGTAAATAGGTTTTCGGTTAAGAACTTAATTTTTTTTTACTGTTATTAAATGAAATATTCACATACTAGCTCATTTGATTTATTTATTGATTAAATAAAAACTATCAAATTGAATGATTACTTGTCAGAAAATATTTGACTGATTGATTTTAAGCACATTTTAGATTTTGTGACTTAAAACTAATGAGTTTAAGAGGGTGTTAAAAAGTTTTCAATTGAAAAATAAATTTTTTGACTATTGCTATACCAATAAAAATCATGATTAACTATGAAAACTTGCTTCTGCAATTAATTGACGTTAGATCAGCAAGTTTTTACAAATAAATGCCAAAGTTATTTACGCAACTAGTTTATATATGTAACAAAAGTTCTAAAAGTAATGATGTTATGAACAGCTTAAACGTTCAATAAGTTCCTCCACTAATTTAATCGAACTATATTTTTGAGACCAAGTCTTCTCTCCGTAGTATTAGAATTAGCAATGTGAATCCGCTTAAAAAAATCTCTGCACTAATTAATAGGAACATTTTTGTGAGGAACTTTTAAACTATTTGGAAAATTGCTTATTAGAGTAGGGGAAAAAAACCCGTATCCAGAGTGAAATTAGTTTGATCAACGGTTTTAAAAGGAGTTTCGCAGAACACTTAAGAATTCCGTCGATGGATCATAAGTGTTCCATGAATTAGGACTAGTGATTAGAGTTATAATAAATAACTTGCGAATTCAAGTCAGGCTTATCAGGTTATCAAAAAGGATTATCAATTATTGTTCCAAAGCCTAAAAAAAATTAGCGATCACACGGAGTTAGATAAATAAAAACCGTATCATAGTTAATAAATTTTTAACAAAGTTTCATGTGATAAATTTATATTCACTTCTTGAAATTACTACCTTAATAATACAAATTAAATTTCATAACAGTCGTTGAGTTGCTGAGTTAATTTTGAGTTTACGACTATCAATGTTCAGCTCCGTAGCCTTGTGACTTTGAACCCAATTCAGTAGACAATGAAACTTTTAGATCAAGTTTTGGAGGAAATTTGCTTTCATGGAGGACTTTTTGATGGAACTAACCCTTATTTGCTGTACATGGGGAGGAAAACAACAGAAATCTCCCACGATTAGCCTGACGTCAAGGAGAGTCTAACCCATGATCCGTCAAATTCCGAGGATATTTTTGTCAGCAAAGTGGTCAATGCGAACCGGGTGTGGAATTCGTTTTGATCAGCAATCGCTGGGATTCGAACCCGGGTCGCGTCATTGGGAGTCAGTTGCTCTATCCCCTGAGCCCTCATAGCTTTATACAAATTAATTACAATTTATAACATAAATTTGAATTTAACGCTATCAGAAATAAGAAAGATGCTGTTGAAATCCAGTTTCTTACCCTATATGCGCCAAAAATTATCCAAATTTAAAATTTTTACTCTGAGTTGATGTCAAAAATTTGAAATTTGATGTCAAGAATATAGAAAATAAATATAGAATAGAATTAAAGTTTTTTTGGTAATAATTTCGTTTGGAATTTAATAATAATTTTGTTTTGTTGATAGGAAATGAGTTTTATTTGACAAAGGATAGAAAAATATTCCCATTAAATTATCTTTCATAATTTTTTTTATGGTAAATCTTTCAAAAGATTAAATGTATAATACTAATGAAAAAAACAGAACTGTTTGGCAAAAGAAAAATTAGATGCTTGCCGTATCTTTTTAGCCAGAATTATTTTTAAAACTAATTAGAAAATAATGTAACCGATTTTCTTTTACATTTTAAGATTTTGGCACAAAATTGTATTAACGTCATTCAAAATAAGAGATATTTTATTAAGATCTTTCCAATAAATGAAAACTTATTTAGTTTGAAAAATATATTCTGCTTTAAATAGTTTTTGGGGAAACAAATTTTACTATTAATACAAGTAATTTTAGATTCTGGCTACTCATATTTGAATCATTGATAAAAAATGGAAAAGATGGATTAATGTTATACATTAATAGAGTAATAGAAAAATGGTAGACAAGTGTTATTCTATGGCATTACAATAAGAATGGTATTTGTTCTGTAGCAATAGTTTTTAAAGCACAGTGACTTTTATAGATTATAGCAATAAAATATAAAATAAATATCCCCAAAATGATAATCGAAGTTAGTCCCAAAAGTTGCATGATGCAACAAACCACAAAAAATATAATTTATAATGCCGTTGAATGCAATAAATCACTTAAATGCAGTAAGTCACATTTATTCTATAAACGCAAAAAGATAGTGAACTTAATAAAAAATGTAACAGCATCTGCAGAAATTCTGTATCATTTCAACACCTGTGTTTCAGTCCATTCCCCTATGCTGAATATTTCATCCATTTGGCGAGGCAAATATCAGCCAGCTTCTCTTCGAATCTCGCCAACTTTAGGTATGGCAACCATAGACAACCGCTCACTGACTGCGGTGTTGCTACTATTGTAAAATGAGAGAACGAGAAAGAGTAAATTAAAAAGAAGTAAATAAAAATACAAAAAGCAGTAGGTACTCAGTTTCTGTGGCCCCAATGTGAAAAGCGAAGATTCGAATTCGAAATATTTTACATCGTATCCCAACCGCGAGTTATCCTGATTATTTTCCCGGAAAAAAACCTGGAAAATCTTATTTTGGATCCACCACTCCTTCTACAAACGTGAGCTACGACATGCTTGCCAAACAGGGACTATGGCGGTCTTTTACTGGTTCACGACTAGGATTTATCCGGAATTATTTTAAAGGATAACAAGAGTTTATTTGGTTTTCCTTGGTTCTTAAATCAAATGGCGGACGAAATTATAGATTTAGAACGATGAAGGATTTCCTTTTCCGGAAAAAGCGATTCTGCTATTTCCGGGAGAATTAGTGAAATTCCTACACTGAAGCCCGAAGGTATGTATAATTCATAGTTACATCCTAAACTTTTAGTTGATTGTAATTATTACACAAAGAATCTAAATATGTAAATTTAAATCATTTAGTCAAATTTAGAATAATTTAAATAATTCATGAACGAAAACTCAGTTGTTTATCTAAGCAATGTTATAAAGCTTTACAGAAAATATATATTTCATACCTTAGCCCATATTTCAGTAACCTACTTTTTTAGTAAAAATTGCTTCTTAAGAAAATGCAATTTTTACTTAAAAATAAGCTTATTAGAAGAAAGTTATTTCACTCCTAAATTTGATAAAAATGAATTGGTTAAGCTTAATTGACCTTTTTTTAATTATTTAATATTTTTTAATTATTTCAAAAATCGTAAATTCCAATTTTTACCATTTTTGTATACTATACGATGTTATTAAAGAGTATTTATTTACATTTTGGTTATGAAAAAAACCGTTAAAATCAATTAATTCAATATTTATGTGCTATAAAACTGTCTAAATTGCTACGTGAAATATAATTATTTCTTATTTTTCATTGCAATTACAAACTGCTATTAATAAAGGTAAATCCGATTATATTTTTACGTAGAAAATAGCTTTTTAAAATTATACAAGCAGAAATTTTTTTTAATTATTATTTTTTATGCGATAAAATTGTGTTGAATTGTGACTAATATATTGTACGCTTGGAGTTAGGAGGATATAGAATTTTTAATTACCAAGAGTGAAAATTATATTTATGTTTAAATTATTATATTGAGTAAAAATCATATTATTATTATATATTCTACTGCAATTATTATAGGATAACCAATACCAGAGTTAAATTATCTATTCATTTAATATAAATAGTTTTTTAGCTTCAATTCCAAATAAACATATCATTTTCCAAAATAGTTATCCAAACTCTATTTGATATATAATTGTTTGTCCTAATTTGTAACAATTTTTATTAAAAGATTTTTCATTTCTATAAATAAATAAATTATTATATAGAAGTGAGCTTATTGAACACGTATGTATATAAAATATGGAATTAAAACTTAATTATTTATTTCTTATAATAAATTTAGTCGTAATAAGTTTTATTAAAATATTTTTCAGTTATATGAAACTGTAATGATTGTATAATAATAGAGATGTTATCTCATTCATAATTATCTTTATAACAGATAAAATTATAATTCAATAATTAATTTGTTCCAAATTATTTAGTCTATGAATAGAATTAAACTGTCATAGTTTGTCATAAGACTAAGCAATTATCACGAAAACTATAATGTATTAGTTTTAAAAATTTATTTTTTCATTCATCTTTGTTCATTTATTGATAAATTGCTATGTGCTTGAAATGACTAATTTTGTAATATTCATTCAATATTTTTACAATTTTAATGATTTAACTGAATGTTTAAAAATATACCTTAGAACTTTAAATATAAAAAATTTAACCAATAGAGAGATTATTTGCTTGTACTAAAATCGTCTTTTATTTTATTTTGTTGATATTTCACCTGTAAATACAGCTGCCCTTTAGTATGACCCCCTTTTAGTGCGATTCCTTCATTATAAAGACCGATACAGAAGTCTCGTTTGCTATTCCATAGACGTAATGTTATTTTAACCACCAAATCCTCATTATAATGCCCCTTAGTTATTCCAGTATAGCGAACGAACTTTCTTTTAATTCCAAGAAAATTACTCTGAATCATACTAAGTTTAACGTTTTTGCGTTTTCAAAAGAAATAATTTTTCTTTTGGAAGCATGCTTTATACAAAAAATAAGTGCCTTAGTTTCATAAATCGCATTATATCCCTTAACATAGTATCTCTCATCTCCCTATGTCAGTTTTTCTTTTTAATTTAAAAATCAGTTTGGAAAATTAAGAAGTAATAAAAATAATACAATGCAATTAATAAAAATAAAATAAGGTAACAAATAAAACAACTTGTGATTAAATATGATATTGTTCAGCAATATTGCTTCCAGTTCTATGCGCGAGTTTTGTTTGCAGAACAAAAATTGTTTAATATTAAACAGCCAAGTTATAAATGGTTCAATAAAAAGCCTTTGCAACAAATATTGAATAATAAATTAGCAATAATTTAAAAATCAGAGAAACTAAGAATCAAACAAATAATGTAACAGGAAACTAAATTTCTTGGTTAAATTTCCTTTAGCATAACACCAAAATACTTTATGAATAAATTTTATCCATCACAAACTTAAAATAGCGGTTATTTACGAATAATAATAATATCAAATTGCTTCTAACATTTTGGAGATATGTATCATATCTTAGAAATGAATCTTTAAAAATCGCAGAAAAGTTATCTGTATAAAAACTTTTTTAAACACTTAAGTTGTGACTCATAAGAATTCAAATCTTCATTAGAAATAATCCATTTGCTTCTTGGAACTATTTAACTAACAGTAAATAAATAAATAATATAAATTGTTACTCTCGAGAGGTAATGAGTTTGGCGATCAAATTGAACAGAGCATAAAGAGGAGAGTTTTGTTTTACTGCCAAGTGCAAACTATAAAGGAGAAACACTTCTGCAGGGGTAAAAATTAAGACTAGATTTTTCATAACTAGTAATTGCTTTTTTTTTTTTAGCTGCATTGTTATAAAAAAAAAGGTTTCTTTATAGTCCTTTTATAAAGGTTCTTTTATAATTTACAATTTTAACGATCACGGGAAAAAATTCTGGTAAATTTGTAGTACAGTATAGAAAGATATTTCCGTTACTTTTTTTTAAAAAAAGAAGCAAAATTTCTGAATTCTGGTTAATAAAACCAAATTTTACCGTGTTTAAACTAATCATTTGATAATTTTTCCATTGAAGCTGTAACCGTTTCTACGAAATTCTGATTTTCATAATTATAGTTTTCATACCTTGTTTTTAGTAAAAAATACAAAAGTTAAAAGTAAAGTTAACCGAATAAATGGTTTTATGCCATGTTCTAAATGGTATCTCGATAAAACAATCGACTTTTACTACATTCATCAAATTTTAATACATATTATAAAGCAATATTTTATTGTAAAATATTTAAATTAACTACTAAAGTGGTTCGGTTAAAATGACCGTGCTTTTTCATATTCCCATAGTGCCAAAAACATGGTAAATTTTACTCTCTTCTGGTAATTTTGATTATACAATTTTTTCCTTTTGGAATTTAGAGTAAATGCAAATAACATTATTGCAGAAAGTAGTAACTGCTTTAGCTTTTGAATCTATAATAAAGGAATTTTAATCCTTAACGTATTTTTTTCTAAAACACAGGTTGCTTGTGCTCAATTGGTTTCGGAAAATAAATTGTCAAGAATTCATACTTAATAAAAACGTTTTAAGACACTTAAACTTCCAAAAATAAATAAATAAATAAAAGATGTTAAAAAAAATAAGCATCGCCAAATTGTGATTTATAATGGCATGACTTTACTTCAAAACACTAGGTCAGATGTTTATCTGTCATCTTCTGACATGATTATTAAAAGTTACTTCGGTTAATTTAATTATTTTTTTAAATGTTGCATGTGATTTCTAGTTGAGGAATTTTTTTAAATGATTTATATGCGTAAGAAATCACATTTACAAATCTCAGATAATTTTTAACTGCCAATTTTAACGTAAATATAAATATAAATGCTATTAAATGCTAAATATATTTGCTTGGCACTTTTATTTGTTCTGTTTTTTAATAATCTTATTATAATAATTTATAGTAACAATTAATTTTTGATTGCATAAAATTTAAAATTTCTATTTAAAGTTTTCAAACTTCTTTAAAAGTTTCGAACGAATAATTAAGAAATAGACTGGCAAAACAAAGTAAGATCTGTATGTCTAAAACTGTTTTTATCTTGAAAAGGGATATAGGGGAGAGTTGGACAAAACGGGATACCATTATTGTTTTTATTTACTACGGAATATCTGTTAAGGAAAACTATACATTATTTTTTTTTGTTGCTACAACATTTATTGAAGCACACAAAAAACATATTTTAAACTAATTTTAATGACTGTGAAATAGAAAAAAAAATTAATTTGCAAACTCTTACACATCCCGTTTTAGCATACCTGGGTTGGATAAAACGGGATAGGGTTTACAATGTTTAATTTTTTTTTGCATAAAACTAAGTGAAAAGCATAATTAACTGACAGAGAACTGCAAAGCAATATTTCTATAAATTATATTCATGGGATTTTACAGTTCTAACACTTTTATATAGATTGTTGTTTTATAAGTAAGTACACAAAAAATATGATGCTACATTTGTTTTTAAAGACTATGAGTTTTCAAACATGAAGGCTTATTTCCGCAATTTTCGTTGTCGAGATGTGCCTTGTGCTCTTAAGAGAGATTTCTTTGCAGCCTTTTATTCAATTCTCTTGGTTCATTTTTGTAGCTTAATCACCCTTTCCTTTTCTTCCATTTCTAATTCACTTTTATTTCTAATTCACTCCATTGATGTCGCAACACTCCTGAAAGACTCTTTAATAATCAAGTATTTAAATACTTCAGTAAACAATGAGAAGAATTCTTTTTAGATTGAATTGAGCAATCCAGAGAATTAAGAAGTTTATATGTAAAAAAGCTCAAGTCTTCATCAGAGAAATTCATTACAATTAGTTCTAAAGAAGGATGTGAAATCCTAGAGTCGAAAATAAAATGCTTAATAATGAACGTTAATAAACAAATTTTGCATTACTATATAAAGAGACTAAATTTTTCAAAAATATATATATAGCTAATATAAATAAGTTGCTCAAAAAGCCTAGGCCTACATTAATATATGGCTATTTTAAAAGGTAATAATCCAATAAATAAATAGGTGGATAAAACGGGACATAAAAAACTCTATCCCGTTCTATCCAACTCATAAGTGTCCCGTTTTGTCCGACTCCGACACTTTTTGAAACAAACATGGCTGCCGCCTAAATGTGAAAAGAAATTAGTTAGACTGCACATAAAAATATTGGTAAATAAAT